ATGAAAAGAAGCCAATCTGAAAAAAAGTCTACATATACATACTGTATGATTCCAACTATACGATACTCTGGAAAAGGTAAAACTATGCAGATGGTTAAAAAGTTCAGTAGTTGCTAGGGCTTGCAGGGGAGAGGGAAGATGAACAGACAGAACACTGACATTTTTAGGGCAGTATTCTGTAACACTACAATGGTGGATACATTGACATTTTTAGGGCAGTATTCTGTAACACTACAATGGTGGATACATGTCATTACACAGTTGTCAAAACCTATAGAATGCACACCAAGAGTGAACCCTAGTGTAAACTGTGGGCTTTGGGTGATAATGACATGCTAATACAGGTTCATCAAATATACCACTGTGGTCGGGGATGTTGATAGAGGAGGTTTTATTTTTAAGAAAAATAAAAAGCCTATTTTTTAAAAAGAAAGAAAACTAGTACATGTTGTAAAAGCAATGTCTGTAAAAGTTAAACAGAATCACTGATGTAATGTGATCATCCCACAAGTCCACTCAACACTTATCCAATTATCCAATGTGCCTTACCCTTTCCAACCTTAGACCCTTAAATCATTCTTTTAGCCTTAAGGGGCCTTCCCTTCTTATCTACTCTCGACCTATCAAAATTCTAACTGTTCTAACACTTTAAAGTCAGCTCAATATGTCAGTGAGTTCACGAAGCCTTCTCTGAGCCCTCATCTTAATTGTGGGTTCCTTCCTACACCTCTCTGTATCACATCACATCCTTCTATTTGGCTCAAGGTATTGAAACAAAACTTTTAATGTGACCTTTTAAAAACCAGAGGTTATATCTAAAAATCTAGATTTCTTACTACTTTTGAGAAAAATGATATGACACTTACTAGGTAGGAATGGGGGTGAGTAGCAGAAACTGCATTACACAGTCCTCCCCTTGTGGCCTCAACACTGAGGCAGTTGTCATTTACGACACTGCTGTCATCTATCAGTGTGTCCCTGTGTTATTTTTCTTACTCTCTCCCACTTCACTCACTGGAGGTGCCTGCCTAGCTTCCCTTTCTAGTTTCTTGCTTCTATGTCTCTCATACCTACTAACTATAAGTTTCCTGAGAGCAAGGACTTATTTCTCCCTTCATTCCTCCCATCTAACTATAGTATATATTCATTAGCTATTTTCTGAATTTACTAATTAGTCAATAAAGAAGAAAAAATGCTACCACAATCCACCATGAATGTTGTTCCTTAAGCTTTAGCAGTTGGTAGCACTGCCTCGTTACTATATTTATATTCACTTCAAAACTCTACGCTCTCCTTTTTACACTTAAGTTGCAAGTAGGCTCTTTATGAGGGTTGGAAGAGTGAGGCTGAGACGCAGAAAAGGAAGAGATCATGTGTTGAAGGCCCACTATACATCAGGAATTGTACTAGGCTTAATAACTGAGGACAGGGCAAAGCTAGGAGTGCTTGGCATGTCCCTAGGGACAAACCTTGTCAGACCAGACAGCCGCAGCAGGTGAAGTCTGGCAACAAGTAGGAACAGTGCAGAGGTGCCAGGCCTGGAAGTGCTTACTTTGTATAAACCTTGTGGGACACTTACAACAGTCTTAGAAGTGGTGAACTAATGTCTGGCGTAGAGTCTGCACTAGAGCCCACGATTATCCCCATCCCCACCTGGGGGCCCTTTCTCTTTTTAATTAGAGCAGTAGCTTCAATCACATCTGCCTTTAGGAAATCGCACTAGATACCAGGCGCTGTCCTATTTCCTTGGAGGAAAACAGACCATAAAGGAATGGGTCCTATAATCCCTGCTATCAAAACAGAATAAGGAAAATTTGAAATCAGAAAGAGCAGTTTTCATTTAAGAGCAAAATCGGATTTAATTCAAGAAAAACCATAAAGCAAATAATTGGGCCTAATGGTATTCTGCTGTTTGAGATGCTGTAAAATCCTCTTTAAAACTAATTTTTTTACTTAAGATAGTTGTAGATTCATGGTTAAAAAATACATTACAGAAAGATCTCTTGTACTGTTTACTGTTTCCCCCAGCAGTAACATCTTGCAAAACTACAGTACAGTATCACAACCAGGCATTTATATAGACACAGTCAAGACACAAAACAAATCCCTCATTGTTGTTTTACAGGAATACCCAATTCCCTCCTGCTCCCCTCACCTCTTCCTTAAGCCCTGGCAACCACTAAATTGGTCCCTATCTTTATAATTTTGTCATTTCAATAACAGTATGTAAATTAAATCGTACAATATGTGACCTTTGGAATTGTTTGTTTTCACCTAGGATAACTCCCTGGAGATTCATCCTGCTGTAAAACCTTTTAAATGGTGATCAGGAAACAGAATTACAACTTAGTAAAATAAAGACCGTGGGTTCCCTGATGACTTACACTAAAGCAAAGGGAACAAGAAATTGAAATTTCACTGTGCTCTGTTGTCTACAAGTGTTCTCTATAAGGGTTTTCCTGCCACTGTAAAGACACGAAGGCATTCCCACGGTCAAATTGTTTTACCACAAAGAATGCTTTACACATTGGAATTATAAACCTAAAGGTTGTGGCCATGAAGGTTCGTGAAACTTGTCTCCAAAAGACATGGCTAGTTGAAGAGAGTTCAAAAATCATCCTGATTATTATTAACCACTTCACATAGATACGAATTTACAATAAACTCCCTGAGTTTACTAAGTCTGCTCTCTCACACACTACAAACAAAACCAACCAACCAACTCACTGGAATTGCTGTTGTTTGAAACAGCAGCCCTCAGGTGGAGTTTAAACCACTGCAGAGAAGAAACACCTGTCTGTCAGCTCCAAACTCTTGAGAACCACAAGGTAATTTGTTTTTCAAGATTTTCCTTCCACACATCTAGTATCGTTCGTAACCACTTCTAATAACCTGCCTTGGCAACTTGAATCTCATCACTGAATGACTATTCAAAAAGGAAAAGCTAAATCCTGACCAGATAATTGACTTTCTATTCCTTACCATTTTAAAGAAGAGAAACCAGGCTTTCCTGGTGGCGCAGTGGTTGAGAGTCCGCCTGCCGATGCAGGGGACACGGGTTCGTGCCCC